GCTTGTTACCCTATGAATGGCTTCAGCTCCTCAGGCCAAATGAGCCACGGGATAGGCAGAGATCAAAGGAATGGAAATTACCCAGCGCCTGTGAAATAATTTACATTTGGTGTCCGCAGGCACCATCATTGTAATGGAGAATGCAGGAACGGCTCCCTACAGAAGGATTAGGAGGTGTGGCCTTATTGGAGGAGGTGTGTCACTGGGTGATGAGATTTGAGGTTTCAAAAGACTTGGGCCATTCCCAGTGACTCACTCTGCCTCTAACTTGTGGATTAAGATGTGAGCTCTTGCTATTCCTGCCACCATGCCTTTGCTTAGCCATCATGCATTCTAACCGCCGAAACACTTTCTTTTAAGCTGCCTTGGTCATAGTGTTTTATCACAGCAATAAAAAAGTGACTAACAGCTACCCACAACCACAGGATGTTACAGTTCCTGTGTTTAAATTCTAACTACAGCTGGGCAGTGGTGGCGCACGCCTTTAATCCCAGCACTCAGGAGGCAGAGGCAGGCAGATCTCTGTGAGTTCGAGACCAGCCTGGGCTACAAGAGCTAGTTCCAGGACAGCCTCCAAAGCTACAGAGAAACCCTGTCTCGACAAAACAAACAAACAAACAAAAATTCTAACTATAGCTGGGTGTAGTAGCGCAGGCCTTTATTCCCAGAACTCCAGAGAGAGGTGGATCTCAGTGAATTCCAGACAGCAAGAGCTACATACTGAGACCCTGTTTCAAAAAAAACCAAAAAGTAAAAAAATAAAAATCCTGACTTCCAGTATATCAGAATACAACTCTCTTTAGAGGTAGACCTTCAAAGAAGTGATTAAGATAAAATGAAGCCACATGAGTGGGCCTTGATTCAACCCACTGAGTGTCAGTTCTGTACAGACATACAGAAGAATGCTGGTATGAACAAACAGAAGACAGGCCTTTGGCAGCAACTCTCTGTAGCACAAAAAAAGAAAAGACCCAGAGACTGATATTGAGGTTCAAACTTCAAGCTGAAGAACAGAAAAGCAAAGTAGTGGGCCACTAGCTCTTAACCACTACCTCAGCTGAATGGGCTGATCCTGCTGCCTCTCTTCGGTGTGGCTGGAGACTCCTGAGACTGAATGTCTTCCTATCCTCAATGTTGCTGGAGAATGAATGCCTGATACTGAGACCTTGCTCTTGTCTTATATACCTTCCTAAAGCTGGGATTAAAGGCTTGTGATCCCAGGCGCTGAGATCATCTTTGTCTGAGCTGTTTCTCTTTAGGACTGGATGAATCTTGTGTAGATCTGGGTGGCCTTGGACTCATAGAGATCATCTACCTATTAATCCTGAGTCCTAGAATTAAAGGTGTATATCACCACCTAGCTTCTGGCTGCCTGGATTAAAGGTGTTTGCCTGGTGTGGCTGACTTTGCTTTCTGATCCTCAGGCAAGCTTTAATAAACCATAAATAATGTATCACCACAACTGTCCCTGCCAATGCCATGATTTTAGACTCGAAGCCTGCAGAGCTACAAGACAATGAGCTACTGATGCTGAAGCTGCTAGCCTGTGGTAATCCATTATGGCAGAGGGGGAAGCCAGTGCTCCAAGGAGATCAGTCAGCATGGTAGCTTTCCCAGGGGACTTTCCCTGCACTTGGATGCTCTTATCCCCTGGGAGGAAGCTTAGCTGCCAGCTTGCAGCACAGTGGTCTGTGTTTCTGGTGGAGGTGAAAGGTGAGATCTAATGCAGATCTCAGTGAATCAGCCCTGGGTAACTGAGTGAACATGAACCATATTTCCCCAACTTTGTGGATGAGGTTCACTCCTGGCAGCTACTTCTATTCCAACTCTAGGGATGTCCAGTGATGGTGGCAGGTTGCAACTGTCACCTCAGCTGCAGCCACATAGCTTCTGACTTGTTCACTGCAAGGACAACTGGGCAGTACTTTATATTTTGGCCATGTTCCCAAGAGACACAGTCCCCAAAGAGCAGTATAAACATCCCTAAGGTCTAAAATCTCTCAGGTCAAGCATAAAATATAATACTGGAAGGGATACTTGAAACTCTTGGGACTTGAGGTATAGATACCTCAGTGGTAGAGAGCTGTCTTTAGTCCTCAACACTGCAAAAATAAAATACAATAAAGCAATCATTGGAGTTAAATGAACTCAGTGCCTGAGTTCAACCTAGCAAAATGTCTCCTTAAGGAACAGGTCAAAAGTGAAGCAAATAAATGCCTATTACAATGGTTGGTAATTGTGTATACCTCAAAATCTATAACTGATTATGTGAAATACTCTTACAGACAACCTAACAACCTTGACAAGATTGATCAATAGCCACAGTAAGTTAATTAGCCTATCCAGTCACTCAAAGAGTCATGATCTGGAGACACTTGCATTTTTTATAAATGCAAATATAGTAAAAGCATGCCCCTCCATTTACTGGGGAAATATCAGTGTTTCACTCCGATGCATGTATGTGGGTGCACGTGTGTGTTAAGGTATACATGTGTGCATGCGTTTGTGCACATGCATGTGGGGGCCTGAGGTTCATGTTCCAAGTCTTCAGTCACTCTCTGCCTTATGCATTGAAAAGTGTCTCAGTTGAATTGAGAGCTTGCCAATGTGGGTAACCTAGCTAGTTAGCTTGCTCCATGGCTAGAGTTAAAGACAGGCCACCATACACACCCAGCATTCACATGGGTGCTAGGAACTTGGACTCAGAGCATGGATGAACCTTCATGGGTACTTCAGTCCCTCCAAGTGTTAGGGGAGTTGTCTCTCCTCTCATCTAGGATTTGATATGGGTGCTCATCTCTCTAGCACATCCCTGAATTACGAAGTCCTCACAAGCCATCAGGAGTTCAACCTATGATAAAAATAACCCAGCAGTTAGTGTTCTTCAGTAATTAGGCAAACACAGTTCTTGCCTAAAAATAGGTAGTTGATGTACCGTAGAGATGGCTCAGCAGTTAAGAGTACTGACTGCTCTTCCAGAGGACTCGGGTTTGTTTCCCTGTAAGTCCAGTTCCAGGGACTCCAGTTCCTTTTCTAGGCTGCATGTGGATGATGCATAAACATACATGCAGGCAAAACATACACAAAAATAACAAAAAGTTCAAGGAAAAAATTTGTTTCCTTTTGTTTTTTTGAGATAGGTTTTCTCTGTGTAGACCATACTGGCCTTGAACTTAGAGACCAGCCTGCCTCTGCCTTCTGAGTGCTGGGATTAAAGGTATGCATCACCCCTATCTGGCTACATAAAGTTTAAAAATCTTTTGGTCTTTCATTGTTATTATTTTATTTCTTTTTATTTTATGTGCATTTGTCTTTTGCCTGCATGTATATCTGTGTGAGAGTGTCAGAACACCTGGAACTGGAGTTAGACAGTTGTGAGCTACCATATGGGTGCTAGGAATTGAACCCCAGGTCCTCTGAAAGAGCAGCCAGTGCTCTCAACCACTGAGTCATCTTTCTATCCCCCAAGAAAATACATTTATTTTTTTTTAAAGTAGTTGAACATCTTCAGATAGAAGGTCTACTTGGTCAGCTTTTCTTTTTCTCTTTCCCTGTTTACTTATTTGTTTCAGGTTTCCTTTACTAGAATTATGTAAGAATCAGTTACTAGGGCCAGCAGCCCCTGCCTGCTTCTGTGCATGGAGCTTACTGAGAGCATGGGCTACCAACAGGGGTTTCCTGGCTCTACTGTCAGGAGTAGGACCAGCTGTAAGCTGAACCTACCTCTGGGAGAATGGGGCCTTCCAACCCAGTCCCTGTGTTATCACTGCAGCTTACACCTCAGGGACTGTGGTTTCTTCCTCCATTGTGCAGGCAGGGCTCAATGAAAAATGTGGCCTTGGGAATGTTGGTTTTACTGTCAAGGAGCAGGACATCTCTACCCAAAAAGGGGCAGAACAGAGATGGGGAGACACAGGCTTGTTGGAACTTGCCTGTTGAAGGTGCAAAGAATTATTCTGTGGGTGTCTGTGTCTAAGTTAGGGTTCATTGCTGTGATGAGACACCATGGCAACTAAAAGGAAAACATTTAACTGGAGCTGGCTTACAGTTCAGAGGTTTAGCCCATTGTCATCATGGTAGGAAGCATGACAGCATGCAGGCAGAGACGGTGTACGATTGGAAAAGGAGCTGAGAGTTCTACATCCCAATCTGTAGGCAGCAGGAAGAGAGAATGACTTGAGTGTCTGAAACCTAGTGACACACTTGCTCCAGCAAGGTCACATTTAGTAGTGCCACTCCTGTGAGCCTGTGGGGCCATTTTCATTCAGACCACCACAGTCTGTCTCAAGGACAGCAATTTCCTCTCCCTAGCCTAGGTGACTCTCTGCTGTAAGTGAGGATTAAGAGCAAGGGAATAGGGCACTCTAGAAGTGGTGAGGCTTCCACATGAGGCCCAGAGGGCTCAAGAGCCATTTCCATGATCCTTTCATAAACAAGATGGAGCCACTGATGTCCAGTGTGTCCTCAGGATCCTTTTGATGGAAGCTCACGTTTCTCGGTCTGCTTGAGTGTTTGTAGGGGGTGGGGCAGATAGGTGTAAGGAGGATAGTGTCCTACTCTCTAGCTTGGCCCCTATGTATGCTTGGTGATCCCAGGGAGAATCCTTACTGGCCTGACACTTTTGGGATATGGCATGGAACGAGACTGTCCCACAAGCCCTGGTAGATCTGTCTTCTCAAGCTGAGCCATGAAAACCTGTCAGTGGCCATCAGGCAGAGGCCAGAGATACAGCTGCACGCTTCCACGCTGCCTCCTATAACAGCCTGAGAGATGTCCACTCAGGTAATGTTGTAAAGTGTGGGCGGGATTCTTTGTTTGTTTGTTTGTTTTGTTTTTTAATAGAGGTCTCATTGTGTAGCCCCAGCTGGCCTGGAACTCATAGAGATCTGCCTTTGCCTCTGCCTCTGCCTCTGCCTGTCTAATGCTAGGGCTAAAGTTGTGTACCATCACCCCAATTTGACTTCATCACAGACAAAAATCTCAGGGTAAGTCAACATGAAGCAGAATTGGAGTTTATTGAGAAGAGATTTTAACACAGATTTTGTCACAGAGGTTAGTGGAGACACTCGGGTATCGATACATACAGGGGCAAAGGTGCAGATTCCCCCAGACACGCCTCAGTGTGTGCCTTCTAAAGGGACCTCTCAGAGGTGTAAGATACTGCGCCTTGGGAAGGGTCATCTCAAGGGTTGCAAAGGAGCTTCAAGGATAGAGTGGCTCCTGAGGGGTCCTGGGTTTAAGTGGCCAATAAGGTAAAGGTCACATGGTTAACAGAAGATGCTTTTATTGTGAACATATCTCAGTCTTGCTTGAGATTCTCAGCAAACTTCTGACTTATGTCTGGGGAAGGTAGTGAGGTCATGCTCAAGGACATAGATGTCAGGCCTTACACATGGCTCATTACTGTTTTAACATTCTTATTTGAAAAACAATCTTTATAAAAAGAGTATTGTCTCTCTGTAGGCAATCTTTTAAAAACACAATTCTTTTTATTATTTGAAACTATTTATATTTTTACAGATACATGCACATAAGTTCAGGTGTCCACAGATAATAGGTATGTGAGATCCCCTGGAGATGGAGCCACAGGTGATTGTGGGCTTCCTGATGTGGGTTCTGGGAATCAAACTCCAGTCCTCCGAAGAGCAGTCCATGCTCTTAACTGCTGAACCATCTCATGTACCTGCTCTATGTAGGCAGCCTTAACTGTAAATATTAACTGTGTGAGAATTCTCAACTCTTGAGTTGGTGAGATACTTCAACCCTTTCCATGTCTCCTTAGTTTCCTTTCTACCCTGCCTCATGATTAAACCTCTTTCTAGAGCCTGACTCCTGAGCAGGCGCTCTGAACATAGCTTCCCAGGCGCTGCCTAGAGTGCCTGTGGATATGAGTCAAGGAATGGAGGGGGCTTCTTATTTATTACTGCTGCTGTAAATTTAATGTTAAACCAGGGAGGCTAGAGGTGCAGCTCCGTGAAGGAGCATATGCAGTTCAATCCCCAGCACATGGCTTCCCTTGAACTTTCCCCTCCCAGGCTCATCTTGGCAGCCAACAGAGATGAATTCTACCACAGACCATCCAAGCTGGCAGACTTCTGGGGGGACAACAATGACATCCTCAGTGGTAAGTGTTTCCTCACACCTAATGAGCAACTGTCTACTATGCTCCACTAGTTTGGTGAGGTGGCACCCGCCAAATAAGGCTGGTAATGGCTCTGCTTCTACATGCAAATGCTGAATGTATAAGTAGGCATGACTGGCTTTGGGGATTTAGCCAGCCCCAGAATCAGGCATCCCTTAGAACTGACCACTCAGTATGCCCCCATGTGTCTCCACGTGCTGTGATGTCCAGGAAGAAATGGTCAGCCTGTGAGAAGGGACCACATTGCTTGGCCTTTGGAGCATTATCATTGTGTGTGTGTGTCTGGGTATGTTTTCATATCTGTGTTCATGTTCCTACTTGCACCCCTTACCCCACACCAAAGGCCTGTATTGGGTTTATTTTGTATACCTACACATCAGTAAGCTTTTTCTAGATGCAGGCCAATTGTCAAGAGACAGTTTGATCTTTGCTTTGAGGCCTGTTAGGTGGGTGAGGAGCCAGCCCCATTTGAGTATTTCTAACTCCTGAACCCAGAGCCCCAGGAGTTAATGGGTTTTCCAGTCTGGCTTCTAGGAGCAGATCACACTCCCTGCCCTGGGTGAGCACTGTCCACTATGGTCTTTCTGTGTGGTTCTTTCACTGCTATCACACAGTTAATCTCTGGGAACAGCTCTGGCCTCTGCTTTTTTGTCCCACGAACTCTGGCCACCTTAGTGTCCCTGGATCTTCAGTTCTGTCCTCAGATCACAGTGTCTGCTAGGTCCTGGGGACTCTACAATCATAAGGCTCATGGGCTCATTTCATTTGTTTCTTTTTTCCCCTCGGTTTTTCAAGACAGGGTTTCTCTGTGACTTTGGAGGCTGTCCTGGAACTAGCTCTTGTAGACCAGGATGGTCTTGAACTCACAGAGATCCCCTTGCCTTTGTCTCCCGAGTGCTGGGATTAAAGGTGTGTGCCACCACCACCCAGCCATTTCTTGGTTTTATGTAGGAGAGTAAATCTGTTCTCTGTTGCTTGGGCAGAGTGAAAGCTCATTTGCTTTTCTTTCTTTCTTTCTTTCTTTCTTTCTTTCTTTCTTCCTTCCTTCCTTCCTTCCTTCCTTCCTTCCTTCCTTTCTTTTTTATTTATTTATTTTTGTTTTTGAGACAGGATTTCCCTGTGTAGCTTTGGAGCCTAAACTGGCACTCGCTCTGGAGACCAGGCTGGCCTCGAACTCACAGAGATCCGCCTGCCTCTGCCTCCTGAGTGCTGGGATTAAAGGCGTGCACCACCAACACCCAGCTTTATTTATTTATTTATTTACTTATTATGTATACAATTTTCTACTTGCACATTTGCCTGCATGTCAGAAGAGGGAAAAGGGCACCAGATCTCATTGTAGATGGTTGTGAGCCACCATGTGGTTGCTGGGAATTGAACTCATGACCTCTGGAAGAGCAGCCAGTGCTCTTAACCTCTGAGCCATCTCTCCAGCCCAAGAACACTTTATTTTTAACAAATGTAGTTTTTATGGCTTGTTCTTCTTTGTCTTGTTCAGGAAACCTGCTCCTCTCCTAAGCTATAACATTTTTCTGATAAGGCCTCAAGTTGGCAGTCTGACTCGTCTCAAATTAATTTTTATTCTGTGTATGTGTGTGTTCATGTACATGTGTGTGCACGGGGCCAGAGGACAACTTCAGGAACACCAGGCACCCCCTTTCAAACAAAGTCCCCTTGGCCTGAAGCCCACTCATTAATGTGGTCTGGCTCATCACAATCTCCCATGGTCAGCCTTTCTCTGCTTGCACCACCTCATCCTGATTCTTACAGGAAATCAAACAGGTCGCCATGCTTCCAAGGTGAGCATTAGTAACTGTCTCCCCAGTTCTGGCTTGAGGCATTGCCTATTGAAATCAGTTGAGCATACCTGTTGGGTCTGCTTGGACTCTGTGTCACACTGATCTGTGTGTCTGGATGCCAGCACCAGGCTCTGTTATTGTTCTTTGGAGCTGAGCACAGTAGTCACACCTGATCTTTTGAGCCCAAGCATTCAAGGCTCTAAGTGTTTTCAATACTGTTTTAAATGGGCTATTTAAAATTTCATTTTCTAAACCAGGCATGGTAATGTAGCTCTGAAATCCCAAAACTTTTGAGTCTGAGACAGGAGTGTCACCATGAGGTCCCAGTCAAGGCCTTCTAGGCTGTCTTGTGAGACTCTGACTTACAAAACAAAGTAGGGCTAGGGAGGTGGCTAGCTGAGTTGGTACTTGCCTAGCATGCATTGTATAAACCAGGCACAGGTAATGCAAGAGAATCAGATGTTCAAGGCCAGCCTCAACTACACAGTGAATTCAAGGCCAGCCTGAGCTACATTAGACCCTGACTCAAAACATAACAATAAGTGGACAAGTACATGTTGGTTCTCTGGTTCTCAGCCCACTTACCTTCTAGTTCTAGCGGGTTGCCTTGGGTGTTTTTTGTTTTCTTTCCTGTGTTTACATTTTATATTTCTTTTTCTGTTATAGTTGATTTTTTACTTGCTGCACAAACATGAGGATCTGAGTTCAAATGCTAGTGTCCACCAGCATGGCCTTGTGTGCCTGTAACCCAGAGCTGCAGAGGGCAGAGACAGGGCCACTGAGGCTCAGCCTCCACCTAGTTCCAGACATAGTGATATGCAGTTATGAGGGTTAAGGTGGAGAGTGCTAGAGCAAATGCCTGTTGTCTTCCTGTAGACCCTGCTTGGGCCAGGTGCATGTGCCAGCACACACAGGTGTGCAAATAACACATTTATATTATATACGCATACTCATATAAACATACTTTCTCATAGGACAGACTGTGTGTAGTGAGCTAATAGTCTGTCCAGGACACTTCTATTGTCTAGGTTCTCTCTCTTATATGCTCATCTCCAGGCCATACCTCCCAGCTCCTCTCCTATGGCTTATAGGGCGGGCCTGTGTAACCTACTGTGGGATCTAGTGGCAGCAGCACTGAGGAGCTATGGAGCATTCCTCATGAGGACTGGGCAGAGAGTACCAGTGGAACTCATCACAGGAACTTGACTGGTGGTAATGCTGTCATCTGCTGTAGGGCTCGACATGGAGGAAGGCAAGGCAGGAGGAACATGGCTGGGCATCAGCACACGTGGAAAGTTGGGAGCACTCACCAACTACCTGCAGCCCCGGCAAGAGCCATACGCCCGTGGTAGAGGTATGGGATCTATGGGGTTGGGCAGGGCTTAGGTAGGGCAAAGACAAGAACATTGGAGTGAAGCTTAAGTAAGACCGGCAGACCAATGGAGGTGGGCAGGTCTCTCTGGTACTGTGAGGAAGAAAGGCACCCTGCCAGGGCTTATGCTGGTGAGCCCCATGCCCTTCACACAACGGTGACAGGAAGAAGAGCTGGGGAGAGATGGCCAAGCATTGCCAATGTGATTCTGTCAGGGAGTGTCCTCCAGGCTCATGACTCCCTGCACTATGACATTGTCCCCTGACTTAAGTTTGATCTTTCTTTTATTTTTTTTGAGATTTATTTATTTATGGATTTTATATATATGAATGTTCTGTCTGCATGTGTGCCTGCATGTCAAAAAAGGACATTGGACCCCATTATAGATGGTTATAAGATGCCATGTAGGTGCTGGGAATTGAAATCAGGACCTCTAAAAGAGCAGCCAATGTTTTTAACTGCTGAGCCATCTCTCCAGTCCTGAGTTTCATCTTTCTTAATGCTGAATTTCTACATAGAGGCATAATAGGTGAACTTTATTTTTTTTCATTCATCCATTCCTTCATCTGTGTGGAGGTTGAACCCAGGCATCGAGCAAGCTAGGCAAGGGTTTACTATTGAGATCTGTCTCCTACCTAAGGGTGCAATCAGAGTGAGTGTGTGTGTGTGTGTGCGTGTGTGTGTGTGTGTGTGTGTGTGTCTATGTGGTTTTTTCTTTCTTTTTTTTTGGGGGGGGGGGGTTTCCGAGACAGGGTTTCTCTGTGTAGCTTTGGAGGTGGTTTTGTTTTTCAAGACAGGGTTTCTTCTCTCTGTAACCTGGCTCTTCTGGAACCAGGCTGACTTCAAACTCAGAGTTCTACCTATCTCTGCCTCCCAAGTGCTGAAATTAAAGGTGTGTGGCACAACCACCCAGCCCTAGAAAATATTTTTAAAACCATTCTCCATAATAGCCCAGTTAGCAAGGTAGGCTAACTTCAGATGATGGAGCCTCAGTGGAACAAACCCCTTTTCTTATGTTCTCCCCTGAGGCCCTATTTCAGTCTTCCCTGGGGCAGGAATGCATGGCTGCTTCCTTGGCCATTGATATGTGTGCCCTGCCCACAGGTGAACTTGTGACTCACTTTCTGACCAGTGATATGGACAGCCTGTCCTACCTGAAGAAGGTGTCTACAGAGGGCCACCTGTACAACGGCTTTAACCTCATAGCAGCTGACCTGAGGTGGGTCTGCTTTGGTAACTAGGTCTTCAGCACTTCTGTATACAGATCCCTATCCCAGTCAGAGTGGTGGCCTCCCCAGGACTTCATTTGAGGGGTGCTTGGCAAGCATCTGAGGACCCATTGTCTCGGACCCACTAACTGAGAATAGGACCTAGAGCTCAGGGTTTCTTGAGACAGTGTGAGGCTGCTGGCTCCCTGCCGTGACAGAACAGCAGTGGAAAGCTGGCAGTGGACTCTTGCTTGGGGCAGCTCCAGCTGGGCATCTATCACCTCCTGTGGGGATGCCTCATAACAGCTGGAGTCAGTCTGTCTTGACTATGTACTTGAGCTCCCAGGTGGTTCTCATGTTGGAGATGTGGTTATAGGAACACAAGTTTGATATGCTTTCCCTTTCAATGAGTTAAATATCCTCATCTCTTTTATCCCTGATATCAGTGAATGCTATTAGCTAGGGATTTCCTCCTGAGGGAAGCTGATGTCATCCTGTACCCAGATGTCTGTCCTCAGCTGCCTCTTACCACAGGGGCAGGTCCATAGGTGAGCCCTAGGCCCAGCATGTCTTGAACATCCATTGTGTATGGTGTGTCCTGTGTCATTCCAGGACTACATGGATAGATTGACTCAGTATGGAAGCTGAGTGAGGTACAATGGTCAGGAAGAAGGCCCGGAGTGGGAGCTGAAAGGGCATGCTACCTACCATCCTTCCTTCTCTCTTTGGTTGCTCCTGGAGGCCATAAACCTATGCTTGCTTTCCTCTCCAAGCATGGAGCTGTGTGTGCATTTTCAGCAGCAGTTCATGTGTGTCTGATCCAGCCCCAAGAGGCCAGAGCCATGGCTCTGATGCAGGTAGGAATGGTTGCTCAGTAGCTGTCAAACAGCTGGAAACAAGGCTGCTGTTCTCTGGGCAGATACACAGAGGCAGTTGGGCCTCTAGAAATCTGAGCAGCCTTCCTTTCTATAGACCCTGCTGGGTCAGAGTTCAGCTAAAGAGCAATCCCACAAGTCAGGCTTCTGAGGTCGCAGGGTAGCAGTCGGGTACTGATAGACCAGGTCCAAGCTGGGTGTGGCGCTGCACACCTTCACTCCCAGCACTTGGGAGACAGAGACAGGCAGGTCTCGGTGGGTTCAAGGTCAGCTGATCTACATAAAGAGTTGCAGTCCAGCTAGGACTATTATGAGACCTTGTCTCAAAACAAGGGCTGGGACTGGAGAGATGGCTCAGTGGGTAAGCATGCATACAGTGCTTGCAGAGGACTGGAGTTCAGTTCCCAGCGTCTATGGCAAATGGTTCCTGAAACCCTATATCTCAGGCCTCCACAAGTACATTTACACACACAATCAAAAATAACAATAAATCACACACACACACAGAGAGAGAGAGAGAGAGAGACAGACAGACAGACAGACAGACACCAAGGTCTGCAATGGAAATTTGTCCTGGTCATGGCTGTACCTGGACACACACACACACACACACACACACACACACTGCCTTTTTGTATTATTCATGTTATTCATGGCAGCGGTGACAGGGACACTGACATGGATAATTAATTCTATGGGTCCTTACACACACACACACAAACACACACACACACACACACACACACACACACACACACACACACAGGCAAATTTCCCCCAGAAACAAAATCTTCAAAATTTATTGCTAAACATCTTAAGAAAGTTGTGAGGATTAGAGTGAGGAAGAATCTGAAAGGGATGTGCACCCAGACTGGGGACTGCTAGGCATGTATGTGTCTATGTGGAACAAGAGGAATCGTCTCTGTAACCAAAGCCACCCCATCTGTAGATGTGCATTTGGAAGGTATCTCAGTCACTTGTGAGTTCCAGCTGAAAGGGTTACTGGAGGAACTGGGGTGTTTTCAGCAGCTACCATGTGTAAATAGTTGTAAAATGCTAATTAGGAGAAAATAGCCTTTGTCACTTTGTTCAGAAGCCTGCTCTGAGGCTACCCATCAGAAGCACTTTAGAGATTAGCTATATGGTGGCAGCTGTGACCCACCAGAAGGGCTGGGGGTAAGATGCAGTTGTCATGACATGTCTGTGTCCATGCCATGGAACATTTAGAGAGCTATGAGGAACTTTCACATTGTTTCCTTGCTGGTTTCAGTAGTGAGTCAGGAGTGTACCTGTGAGCATGGACAGGGCCTTTTGTCTCTGTGGCCTGGCTTTCCAGGCCCAGAGCTGGGCTGAAGTGAGCCATTGTCTTTGTGCTGGTCACGAGCCGAGGCCATGGGATCACTGGGAAGTTCTGGGAACAGGGGTGCTTGTGGCTCCCATCTGACTTTCTCTGACTTTTGGCTTCCATTCACAGCACAGCAAAAGAAGATGTTGTTTGCTACTATGGAAACCGGGGGGAGCATGAGCCTATTGTCTTGACACCAGGTGAGCCTGCTTTGGTGTCCAGACAGGGTAGAGAGGGGGCTGCTTCTATATTGGGAATACCATGTGCTTTTCAGAGACCAGGCTGTTGTTGCATCACTCTCCTGGAACTTTACTTTTTGGCTTTTTGTGTGTCTTACATGGTCTGTATAGGACTGTGGCCTTCACCTGCCCACATCCTGCAAACACGCTCCCATGGGCTTTTACTGCTCTGGACACCTGCCCTAGCCCCCATAGCTCAGCTAGCAGCTCACAGGGGTCACCATCCAGGGTCTTCCCCAGGTCCCTTTGATGATACACATACATACTATACGCTTCAGCTCCTCTCCTATGTATACCTCCTACACCCAGTGCCCATACTTATCCCATGTCCCCTGCCCCAGAGCTCCTGGATGCCCTCCTCTCACCATACCTGTGCCCAGGCTGTAGCTTCTGTAGCTGAGCTTGCTGTCCCTTTTTTCCCTAAGTATTTTGATTTCTTGGAAGCCTCTTCTACCAGCTGCCAGCCTCTACTCTGAACTGACACTCTCTCCTCTCTTCCCCCTTTCTCTTTCCCCCCTCTCACCTTCTGTCACACACACATACTCACACTCACATGGTCCTATAAGCCACTTTGGAAGAAGAGAAGTTTATGTCTGTCCAAAGTCTGGTGCCAGGACTGAGCAGGACTCATGGGAAACAGCACAGCACAGGGTGAACTAACCTTCTGGGGCCAACTGCCTTCTCCTTCATTCACAGCTTATGAACAATCCTTGCTGGTAACATCTTGGGTCTGTGGGCCTTGGACACTGACTCTGTCCCTACAACTGAGCCATTGGCCCATACCAAGTGTCCCTACCCCTAGGGAGAGAGTCAGTGTCTTCGGCAGCACCCATATCCCACCTCTGTGTGACACTTTTCATTCATAAAACAGTTTCTGCATCCCCAAGTCATAGAGTCTTTCTTGGGCAGTTGGCACGGGTTACTAAATGAGGTTGCAGGACATGTGTCTGTCCCTCCCATTGAGGATCTATGGTAGGCCTAAAATGTTGTGTTCCAGGTGGAGCTCAAGGGAATTGAGGAGCAGCCTCCAGGATAGCTGAGTAGCCCTGTCCTGCCTGTACTATTAGCTCCAAGGATAATGGTGAGGCCTATAGAGGTAGCCTGCTTCATGACAGAACTCATACATACACTGGTTCATGCCAAGGCTGGCTTTAGCTTTTCATGACTTATGTTTAAGCCCCAGGTTGGCCAAAGGGCTCCAGAGCTCCCCGCATTTATTGAGGTATGTCCAGGCAGGATGCTATGGGCTGGTGAGATCCTAGTATAGGCAGCTCACACCTAGAGTGTGGCTTCTAGTCACTCCCACTAGGTCCCCTGCACATTCTCACTCAGAGCTGTCTGCCAGCCGTGGCACCCTGGCTGCCCTTGGTGGTGTACATCCTTCCCTTCTTGTGCAAGCCCAGGACAGGTCTGGTTGTACTCCAGGAACCAGCTGATGGCTGACTTTAAGTTCTGAGTTTAGGCAGAGTCAAATGCATTGACTCCAGCAGGTCTTGTGCTGTTTGCCTCAGAGCCCCTTCATTTCAGCTTCTTGGAGTCTGCAGATCCACTGAAGAGGTTTTATACCCAGAAGTCAGCCTCATACCAGCCCAGTAGCTCAGGGGCCTCTGGGAGAGCAGCTGGAGGAAGGGCATGAGGTCTGCTGTTCTCAGAGCTGAAGGCTCCCTGACTGTAGCTTCTTTTCTGCTAGGTCTTTATAGTAGAAATTCTTTCCATCTACATCATGATTTATCCCTGAGCTTGCCCCTACTTAATCTATGTCCTCTTTCTTCTGGTGTTAAAAATTAAATACAGGTCCTCATGCCTAATAAACACACTCTTAGTAAACTTTCAGCCCTCTACTTTTAAGCAGGAGAATTGCTCCAAGTTCAAATCCAGCCGTGACCATGTAGTGAGTGCCAAGCCAGCCTGGCTACAGAACGGGATCCTGTCCCAAACAACCCAACCTTTATTGAATTGGTCTTACGTGCTTGCTGTGCGTGTAAAGCCTATCACACAGCCAGCTTTGGTGGCACAGCCTATAAACCCAGGATTAAAGAGATAAAGGCAAAAAGACAGTCATAATATCAAGGCCAGCTGATTTGATGAATAAGTTCAAAGGCGGACAAGACTCCATGACAAGCCCCTTACCTAAGAGGTGCCAGGCCGGGGGTTGTGTTTCATATAAGCCGGGAGTAGTGCACATCTGTAACCCAGTACTCAGGAAGCTGAGGCAGAAGGATCATACTTTGAGGTCAGTCTGGACTCCATATGAAGCCAGGCAGTGGTGGTGCATGCCGTTAGTCCCAGCACTTGGGAAGCAGAGGCAGGCAGATTTCTGTGAGTTCAAGGATAACTTGGTCTATACAGTAAGTTTCAGGTCAGCAAAAGTTACATAGTGAGATGCTATCTCAATAACCAAATAAGTTAATAAAATAAAAAACAAATGGTGGGGTGGGCATGGTATGCTCACCTTTAATTCCATCACTTGGGAGGCAGAGGCAGGCAGATTTCTGTGAGTTCAAAGCCAGCCTGGTCTACATAGGAAGTACCATCTACACCTGCTCCTTTTCAGATGTTTCATTCAGACGGAACCAGCCATGTAGTAGAGGAAGCTGACTTGTGATTTAGCTTACTTGTCTTGATGTTTTCAAGTACCTTTACCCCTGAGCCACCTCACTGACCAACACTTCTCTCTCCACTTGGAGCCCTTTGAGGAACTTCCACATAGTTTGCCAAAGCATCTGCACATTTTACTTTTCTGCCAGCAGTTTGTGGAGGTTCCTGTTTTTCTGAACTTTCACCAAGACTTGCTGTTCTCTGTCTTTAGGGGGAGAGAATTCTAGGGATGGGACCCAGGCCCGTAAGCATGCTGAGCACATACTGCACCCCTGAGCCATATCCCCAGCCCTCTGTCTTCCCCCTCCCCAACTTGAGGTGCTGGTGAGTCAAGCCCACAGCCTCTGGAATACCAGGCAAAGCTCTCTACCTTTGACATAATTACCTGCCATCTTTCTTTTTTTTTAGGCAAGGATGAGGGGGTAGTGTGGGGGCTCTTGTATCCCAGGCTAGCCAGACTCCAACTCAATATATATCCAAGGATGACATTGAGCTCCTGGTCTTCCCACTGCCACCTTCTGAATGCTGGTTACATTACAGGTGTGGTCTGTCCATCTAAAAATTTTTGTCTTCCTATATAATCTATAAATCTCATCAAAAATCCTTTCCCATTTTGTATTTTATTTAACTTGTTTGGCACTTTTTTTGAAATGCATAACTTAAAATTTACATGAAGTCCCATTTATCTTGTTGCTTATGCTTTTAGTGTCTTACCTAATAAATCATTGCTTAATTTAAGATCATAAAGCTTATTCTTTTTAAAATGTATTTACTTTGTGCATGTGTGCATGTGTGTGTGCACATGCTTTGGAACACAATCCCACTCTAACCCAGGCTGGCCTGAACCTTGCTATGCAGGCTGGCCTCAAACCTGCCACAATCCTGCCTCAGCCTCCTGAGTTCTGAGATTATAGATTCATGCCACCACACTTGGTCCTAAAGCTGCGCCTTTTTTGTTTTGTTTTGGTTTTTGGAGACTGGGTGTCATGTAAGCAAACTTGCCTTAAACATTTATTTGTTGTATGCAAGTGTCCACCTGCCTACGTGCCCATTCCTCAGCTTACATGTGGAAGTCAGAGGACAACTTGCAGGTGGAGTTTTCTCCTTCCACCATATAGGTCCTAGGAGCTTGAACTCTAGTCATCAGGCTCAATGGCATGTGTCTTTACCCACAGCCATCTTGCTGGCCTTAGGTTATTTATGCATAGAGTGTGAGGTCAGGTCCAACTCTGTTCTATGTGACTACCCAGTCACCCAGCACCATCATAGAATAGTCTTTCAAGCTATTCCAGAAAGAAAACACAGTGACACTAGGGCTGACAGCTTGGCCTTGGGGGCTCCAGCAGAGTCCAAGTGATCTTCCAGGGACTCAGCTTCCACTGGTGTCATGTTCAGGATGCTTGACTAAGCCATCTGCCCCAGCCACCTGGGACCTTCACATGACAAGACTGACCTTCTTCCTACAGGAACCTATGGGCTAAGCAATGCCCTACTGGAGACGCCCTGGAAGAAGCTGTGCTTTGGCAAACAACTCTTCATGGAAGTGGTGGAGCAGAGCGAGGCACTCCCTAAAGACACCCTTATCACCCATCTCCTAGATGTACTCAACAATGAAGAAGCGTAAGTGAGCAAGTCCCTCTGGGGCAGCCACACAGGTCTAGGGCAGGGAGGAAGGCAGGATTTGCTACCTTGAAGGCCTGCAAAGATGAGCAGAGTGGTTTCCCAGATGCAGGAGAGCCTGCCTGACCTGTTATCCTCTGCCTCTGACTCAGACCTATCCCTCAGGATTCCCTTGGGCCCTGAATAATGAGAGTTGGTGCAGCCAAGACCTGTGCTCTGGGGGACTTGGCATTCTCTGAGGTCTGGTCTCCCTCTACATAAGAAGGGCTAGTGTGATATTCTAGAAGGTTCTAGCTACTCAGCAAGCCTTAGGGAGAAGAGCCAGAGAAACCAGAAGCTAGTCAGAACAGGCCTATGGCTTGACATTGTTTGCTATGCCCTGCCTCCAATAACCTTGGAACTAACACACCTGTCCCAGGAAGGAACAGAACCCACCCCCATTCCATGCCCATGAATCTCTTCATGGGGTACCCTTAGACTCTGGGCACTTGGGCCTCAGCCATCCCATCCAAGAGTCCTGGCATTTGTTCCTTCACAGTCCCATGCATCTTCCCATTCTCATCTAAGCTTGGCTGCTTTCTGCCCAGAAGGCCCAGTGTCCCTCCATGCTGCTCACCTTGCAGTCTCTCAAAGGAGCCCTCTGCCCCTGCTCACTCTTCCTGTGGGCTTTAAACCATAGCATCATTCTCCAACCTTAGCATCACCTGCCCTCGTGTGGGCCTGTGCTGGGCTTTGCTCAGCCATGTGTCCACATGGCCCTCACTTGGCAGGCCAGTTATGACTCTGGCTGTTCTTACTGATAACCACAGTCATGGTACAAGTTGTTCTGTTTGCTGAGTCTTGGGGTTTAAGAAGGCTCTTGTCTGTGGACTGATGCCCACGGGGTACTGCTAAGAGACAGAGTGTGCTTGTGCCATCTAGATGCCTAGGCTTAATGATGGAGTCATAAGTGACACGATGGAAAGGTGACAAAGCAGAAGGAGCCAAGTAGGAAAGTTACAAACAAGCCTATAGTTCCTCTCCCCACAGCCTTCTAAGGCTAAGGCCTCCTCGGGGACCTCAGCCTGCCAGCATGGTAAATAGGGCCCTCAGATACACAGGCTGCAGATAGGCAGTAAGGGGACTAACAGCTTTTCTGGCCCTCTATCCTTCTAGACAGCTGCCAGATCCAGCCATTGAGGACCAGGGCCGGGAGTATGTACAACCAATTCTGAGCAAGTACGCAGCTGTGTGTGTGCGCTGCGCCACCTATGGCACCAGGTGATCAGGGTTGGAACAGCTGGGCATATTCCTTCCCATTGGCTGTCCCCCACAACATGACTGGACATCCCTAGGCACCCCCTCTGATTCTGTTCATTCGGGAGTCTGTCTTCTCTAGACTTCACAGCAAGTTGAGCATATCCTAGAGGTGACATGCCCATGGGATCAGGAGGTCAGAGATCTGGCCTCCTGAAGCTGTCATTGTGTCCTAGGTGGGGCTCCTGCTGCCTCACCTGTTCAAAGAAGCCAGAGATGGCATTTGGAGTGTTCCTGTTGGCAGACACTGGGACAGCTGCCCTGGCGCTGATTGTCCAAAGCCTGTGCTTTACATGCTGGAGTGGCAGCTAAGGGCTGGTCTTTCCTGTGTGTACCCACCCTGCTTGAAGGGCAGGAGCTCACATATGAGAACCCACCATAGGGTGGACTAAAAAGAAGAAGCCAGGTGACAGCCTGGGCCAGTGGCAGAAGAAGGACACAAGAGGGATTGTTTCTAGGTAAACAGGTCATGTGCTTGAGTAGTTCAAAGTTTAACCCCCTGGAGAGCCAAACATGGCCAGGTGTCTGGGAGCCCGTGTACTGTGGGTGGGGTGTGGGTAGTCAGTTCTACCGCCCTGTGAGGGATATAGTAAATTGGGTCTTGCTATGGAAAAAGGTCAGGCTAAGTGGGCTGTTTTAGAGCAGAGGTGACAGGACTCACTCATACATGAGGCTTGCCAGGGAGCCCATTTGCCCCTGATGAGCCCCTCATGTCCTCAGAGATGAGTAGCCAGGTCAGGCCTTGGGTGTGATGGGCCTACCCTCTGCCTCAGGTCTGGTCCTCAGAGCTATGGCTCTGATAGCTGGAGCTGGAGCTAAAGGATGCTTTCTTTCAGAACCAACACCATCATCCTCGTGGATGCAGATGGCCATGTGACCTTCACAGAACGGAGCTTGCTGAACAAAGACACCTCTCACTGGGAGACCAACACCTATGAGTTCACACTACAGAGTTAGCCCCCACTACTAGGATGCCGTGCCTCAAGGGCCAGCATAGGCAGGAATCTTCCATGGCCACACTGCATGTCTATGACTCAGCCAGCATCGCTAGGACCAGAACCCTTTCTGGTCTATGTGTTACCCACACTTGACCTCATACTCAGCTCAGGTTTGTCTTTGTGCCAGTGGGGAATGACAGAGTTGAACACTAGGTCTGAGTCAGGCCTAGATGTGACAGACCTCTGTCACTGCACCTCATGGTCAATCCCACCACCATCATCATGTACACACTGTGTGAGCCTATCTGACTAGCAGGGGAGTGCCTCTCACTTCACACGTTTGGCCAGTGGTCTCTTCCAAGTAACATCTGAACAAGTAACAGATGCAGGAGTTTTATAGCAACTGGCCTTTCCCTTCCTGAATGCAGAGCACAACTGTGTCTCATGTCCTCATAGCCAAACATGCTCCTGCAGGAGAACTGGTCATGTTAGAAACTGAATCAGAGCAGGGCGTTGGTGGCGCACGCCTTTAATCCCAGCACTTGGGAGGCAGAGGCAGGTAGATCTCTGTGAGTTTGAGGCCAGCCTGATCTCCAGAGCGAGTGCCAGGACAGCTTCCAAAGCTACACAGAGAAACCCTGTCTCTAAAAACCAAAAAAAAAGGGGGGGGGGAGAAAAAAAAAAGAACTGAATCAGGCACAAGAAAAATCCACATCGATAGAAAATGGAGACAACTGGAGATCCTGTAGTTCTGTATGTGTTAGTGTATCCCATGTGTGAGGATCCTGTGTGCACTGGTCAGTCCCACTGTGTGCACCCTGGGATCCCTTACCCCTGCTTGCCCAGCAGGCATTGTAGGTTCTGAGCAGGACCATCTCAACAAGTGGCTTAACCAGCCCCTGCCATCGCCCATCTCCCTTGTCAGAAGCTGGACTTCATTGGAACGTGATAATAAAACTTTGAGGTTGTGATGGCTAAGGTGTTTCAAAATTCTTCCTTCATGTGGTGGCAACAATCAGAACTGGAACTGTGATAGTAGTTGCTCACTTGAGGATCTTCTTTTTATATAACCTGAAGCACTGATGGACACCTGCAGGTCAGGCAGTCTATCTGTCTGTCTCTCCTTTTGGCAGAGGCCTGGATGTTAGAGAACTTATTTGTGACTACAGAGTGAGCTGTCACCAGCAGGGATTCACTAGGAGTCCCTAGGGTCCTTTTTGGTACATAAGCATGATGATTAGGTGTTCATGCTTTTGGGAGACATGTGACTCCCACAAGCCTGGATATGATAACAGTACATTACCCATCTGACATGGGGGGGGGCATGGAATGGGAGTCCCTAGAAGAAGAGATTCAGCCTGTGGATCCTGGGATCAGAGAATGGTGAGAATGGGTGAGTTAGAGGTCCAGTGCATGTTCTTAGCCCTGCCAGCAAGAAGCCCATATCTCAGGCTCCCTTGTACATCTGCAGCCAACTTTGTCTTGGCATTTCAGGATAATGAGCCAAGTGTGGATCAGAACAGAGCGCCCCGGACTGTGATCTGCTGCTGGTCCATCAGGTGAAGAAAAGCCTGACGCCACCTTTCCTGTCTCTAGCACCCTCCTCTGGGGTCCAAGAGAAATACTGCTTGATTGAAATCAAGGTTGAACCAGGCGTTGGTGGCACAGGTCTTTAATCCCAGCACTCAGGAGGCAGATCTCTGTGAGTTCCAGGCCAGCCTGGTCTACAGACTGAGTGCCAGGATAGGCTCCAAAGCTACACAGAGAAACCCTGTCTCAAAAAAAAAAAAGAAAAGAAATCAAAGTCTCGTGGGTAACAAAACACATCACCAGGCCTGAAAAGAAACAGGTACTGATTATCATATTGGCCGAGCTCCTATGGGTTATTGTAGATCCTGCCACCCTTGTTTTATACTAGTTTCCACTCCTGGAGAACCCTTTAGATGTCTGCTGCTTCTTTCCATAGAACCCTCTGCCCTAAATCTGCCTGAAGCTTCTTCTGTGGAAGGGGCAGCCAGAAAGTGTAGCTTCTCTTATAGCCTAAGTTATATCATCCTAGAAAGGAGATCCTCATCCCAATCCCTCAGAGTTTGCACAACCTTGCAGCCACCTCTATCCAGATATCGGCCTCCAAAGCTCTACAGGAAATGTCTGCTATGTTGGTGAGTATCTAGAAGTCCTGACACTCCCAATTCAGACCTCAGTACTGCCTTCCCAAAAAGAAAATAAGCCAAGTGTAGTGATGGATGCCAGCACTCCAGAGACCGAGGCAGGGAGCTATAGAAAAGTTGAGGGCACCCTGGTATGGATAGCGAGTGAGACCCTGTCACATAAAACTAAAATGGTCTCACTATGTAGACCAGGCTGGCCTGGAACTCACAGAGATCTGCCTGTTCAGCTTCCTCAGTGCTGTTGTTAAAGGTGTGTGCCACCCTTCCTGGCTTGTCAGGAGTTTCAAGCTCAGTTACTTGGGGTGCTCGTTGTCAATGAGCTCAAAGGTGAGCATGACTCAGTCTTAATCAGGGAGGTCTGGGTGTGCTGTCAGAAGCCGCTGACACACGTCTGAGGTAAGAGACACATAGCTAGAACTTTAATCTCATGTTTTGTAGCATAGGAGGTAGTTAGAGATGTGTGGTAGGGTCCTTTTCCTCCAGAGAGAGTATGTCTTTGATGAGTTGATTTTTTTCTAATCAATAAAATGCATAAGTTTTGGTTTCTGTTCATTTTGTTGTTTGTTTCTTGAGCACTTCCCATGAGAAGATTATGTAACCAACGCTGAACTTAGTTTACTAACATGTTCAAAAGTCTCTTGTGGGGCCAGATAGATGGCTCAGCAATTAAGAACATTTGTTGCTTTTGAAGAGGACCTGGATTTATTAGTTCCTAGTACCCAATACACATAAATAAGTCTAAAATTAAGAGGTAAGGGAGCCGGGCGTTAGTGGTGCACACCTTTAATCCCAGCACTTGGGAGGCAGGCAGGCAGGCAGATCTCTGTCAGTTTGAGGCCAGCCTGGTTCCAGGACAGCCAGTTACCTTGTCTCAAAAAACAATACTAATTAAGAGGTAAATTATAGTTTGAGAACTAATGAGAGTATCTGGTTAGGGACAGTTTTATATGATGGGTGTTTTGCCTGAATGCTTTTGCACTACATGGATGCTTGGTAACCAGGAAATCCAGAAGAAGGAATTGAATCCTTTGAATCTGGAGTTACAGACATGAGCTGCCATGTGAGCGCTGGGAATCAGAATGGAGACCTCTGCAAGAACAACAGGTTCTCTTAACTGCTGAGCCATCTCTCCAGCCTTCAGTTTTGGCAATTAGTACCATTTGTTTGACTGTCAGGAGAAGATAGGCACAATGAAAACTTAGTACAATGGACCAAATTCTATAAGTGGATTTAAATATTCACTAAAATAAGTTTTATGATGACTGATTTAGTAGAAATGCCTCAAAAGGACATTCTTTTTAATAGAATTTTTTTCCCAGTACTAAGTTGGTGGCTATCTAGTATGTGAAGTCTTCAGTCCAGTGAGAAAACATAAAATTGCATTTCGATAAAATCTAACCAACAAGTTGCCTTTTAAAAAGATGTATTTTGCGGGATGGTGGTGGCGTACACCTTTGGTCCAGGCATTCGGGAGGCTGAGGCAGGCAGATATCTGTGAGTTCGAGACCAGCCTGGTCTATAAGAGCTTGTTCCAGGACAGCCTCCAAAGCCACAGAGAAACTCTGTCTCAAAAAAAAAAAAAATGTATTTTAATGCTGGGTGGTGGTGGTACATGCCTTTAATCCCAGCACTCGGGAGGCAGAAGCAGGCAGATCTCAGTGAGTTCAAGGCCAGCCTAGTCTACAAAGTAAGTTCCAGGACAGCCAGGACTGTTACACAGAGAAACCCTGTCTTGAAGAAAAAAAAAAAAAAAAGGTTTATTTTCATATGTATGTGTGTGACCTCGTGAGTTACTTGCTGGATCCCTGGAATTAGAGTTACAGGTGTTTGTGAGCTGCCAGGCATAAGTAGCTGGAGATGGAAATCAGGTACTATGCAAAAGCCATCTGCCTCTTAACCACAGAGCCATCTCTCCAGCTGCTGTACAAACTGTTTTATGTTTTAACATTCCACTTGTCTTCCCCTTTTGTTTCTTATTTGGAAAAATCCTTTACTTTGGCACAGAATCTTGCTTCACAGTAGGAAAGTCTTTAATATGATGAGACAAAGCAACATATAAATACAAATGTATCCGCTTATAGTGGGATCCAAATTATATTTATGACAATGTAACAATTTCAGATAACCTAATATACCTAATGTTAAACTACAAGATTGTTGTCTGTTGCCTATCATAGGCAGAGTTGATATCTGCTTGAATTTCTTTTTTAAGACAGGCATGGTAAGGCCAGGTGTTGGTGGCGCATGCCTATAATCCTGGCACTTGGGAGGCAGAGGCAGGCAGATCTCTATGAGTTCGAGGCCAGCCTGGTCTACAGAGCAAGTTCCAGGACAGGCTACAAAGCAATACAGACAAACCCTGTCTTGAAAAACCAAAACAAACAATAACAAAAAAAGACAGACATGGTGGTGAACACCTTTAATCCCAGCACTCAGGAAGCAGAGGAAGGTGGGTCTCTGTGAGTTTGAGGTCAGCCAGGTCTACAGAGTGAGTTTCAGGATAGTCGGGGCTGTTATACAGAGAAACCAAGTCTCAAAAAAAGAAAACAAAAAAAAAAAAAGAGACAGGGTCTCATTATGTAGCATGGGTGGCCTGGAACACCCACCGACTTCTGCCTTCCAAGTGCTGGGATTACAGGTATGCACACCATGCCTGGTTGCTGCTTGGATCTTTGTTTAGGGACTTTTGGGGTCTAGGGGGATCCCTGAGCTGGCTTGCGTCTGGGGTCATTCTGAGATTCACCAGTCTGATCAAAAAACAAAGAGGCTTTTACTCATACTGGCACCAGGTCTACTCCAGCCAGGGGATTCAGGATTTCCGAATGCAGCCAAGTCAAGGGTTTATAAAGACAGAGAACACAAAGTTAAAATGTGTTCTCCAGCAAGCAGAAAGTCCTCTTGTGCAAAACAAACTTGTTGACCAGAGCAGAATGAAGTTTTCTGTTGCTGTGAAGAGACACCATGACCATGGCAACTCTTATAAAGGAAACCATTTAATTGAGGGGTCTTGTTTACAGCTTCAGAGGTTCAGTCCATTATTATCATGGTGGGACATGGCAGTGTGCAGGCAGACATGGTGCTGCAGGAGTAGCTGAGAGTCCTACATCTTGCAAACAACAGGAAGTCAACTGACCATCACACTGAGGGAAGCTTGAGCAAAAAAGACCTCAAAGCCTGCCCCCATAGTTATACATTTCTTCCAACAATGCCATACCTCCCTTTGGGGCCATTTTCTTTCAAACCACTACGTTCTACTCCCTGGCCCCCAAAGGCTTGTAGCCATATCATGATGCAAAAAAAATTCATTCAGCCCAACTTCAAAAGTTCCCATAGCCCCAAACTTGTTTCTTCTGAGACTCATGACAATTTCTTAACTATAATCTCCCTATAAAAATCAGAATGAAAAAGGAGGTCACACTTCCAACATATAATGGCACAGGACATACATTACCTTTCCAAAATGCAGGGAAGGGAGCATAGCAAGGAAATACTGAACCAAAGCAAGACTGAAAACTAGCTGAGAAAACTTCAAACTCTGCATCTTTCAGAGGATCTCTGTGAGTTCGAGACCAGCCTGGTCTACAAGAGCTAGTTCCAGGACAGCATCCAAAAGCCACAGAGAAACCCTGTCTCGAAAAACCAAAACAAACAAACAAAAAGAACAGGTAGACTCATTAGCTGAGGTAGTCTTACAACATTGTGGGGCCCTTGGTCTGCTTTTTTGCAGAAAAAGGAGGTTACTGTATGACCTTGGGGGAAATTTGCTGCTTCCATGAAAACTACTCAGGAATGACCAGGGATAATTTGACTGAACTTTTTAAACATCTCACAGAGAGGGAAAAGCTCTGGTGGAAATAAATGGCTCCCATTTTCATTCTCTGGTTCTTTAAGGCTAGTAACTGCTGTCAACCATTGCAAGGCCCTTAGCTCTCCTGCTCATTACAGTTGGTCCCTGTCTCATTAATGCCTTAACCAGATATATAAATTCCCACTAGGAGCTGGTAGTGATTAAGACCCAATAAGAGCAGGTACCCACCACAGAGTCAAGGATTTGACTCAGGGTTTAACTCAGTGGGGGAAATGTGATGACTAACTTTATAAGTTTAAAATCTCTGTGCTTAAGAGAACTAAAAAGCAGCCGC